AAGTGGCTGATTACTGATCTATTACATAATTGCATACAACCCCCATTCGCCACTAGGTGGCGGTGACGTCCCCACGACGCTTGTGCCAGGCTATGTGCACGTTCAGGCTACGTGAAGTGTCGAACGCCCGCTGGCAAGAGGTCACGGGGCAGACCCAGGTGCCACGGGTCGACTGACTGACATGACTGGCTGATGCACCACCTGTGCCAACTGGCTGTGCTTTAGCCACCCGGCGCTCCGCTCGTTGTTGTGAGCTTCGCTCCTCCCCCCTCCGTTGTTGTTGGAGGGCGACTTCCTCCAACTGCCCAGTAGCGTCCTTCACGAGCCCATGGGCTGCACAAAAATTTAGCAGCCTCCTACCGTTGTTATTGAACTGATCTGGCCCATGTCTTCCAATCACTCCAGACCAGGTGCTAGCATCATGACCAACTTGGGCATTGAAGTCAGCCAACATAATGACTATCCCGAGGGGCCACTTTAGCCAGCACCTGTGACAGGAGGTCATAGAAGGCATCTGACTCATCGACCTTGCCTGCATCCCTCCACCGATGTTCGTCTTCGGTGGGGGCATAAGTAACTACGACCACCACTCCTCGCCTCTGGTTGATGGGAAGTCGAGCCCAAAGTAGCCTGGGGCTTACAGCTTCCCACGCCTCACCGCCACGCTCCTTCATTCTTTTGTTCAGAAGAGCCACTCCCTGTTGTTTGGCAGTCTCCTGCCCCGAGTTAAAGGACTGTCCACCCCTCATGGTGGCAGGAGCCAGAGCCGGTCCACTGGACCTCCTGAATACCATAGAGATCCAGGCAGTACTAGTCCAGCTCCTGACAAAGGAGTGACAGCCTCTCCTCCGCAGTGAGCGTTCGAGCATTCCACGTGGCCATCCGAAGTGGCTTTTTGTTGTTTCTGGAGGAGCCCCGAGGGTAAGGATTCAGTCTCCTGGCTCCGACAAATGGGGTTTGGCCAGGAGACGTCATAGACGCCTGTCCCCCCGGGGCCTCCGGCATAAGTTTAATACGTTTTTTTCATCATAGTTTAGTGGTAGTTAATTGAAGGTGAAGGGGTTACACCCCCACCCCCGCCTGTGATCTCGAAACGTGATGTGGTTCAAAAATGATGTAGTCATCCTGCACTATTTAAGACCAGAAGCAGGTGTATGGATTTACTATTGACAAATCGCCTGAAGATGTTGGATGTAATTTCCAGTGAAACGTCGTAATCAAATTGTAAATGTTGTGGATCCACTCTTCAACACACCGGTGGGCTAAAGTAGTGAACTATTTGTATTTTGTCAACGTGACACTTTTTTTACTGATTGGCCGTGTCGGGTGGTGGAGGGTTGCGACACATTTATAAATAACGCAATCTGGTCAGGAAAGCCTACGTGTTAAACTGCTTTTGGTAGGCATTGTGCAACCTCAAAGCAGATTTTTTTTTACTTTGAACGCATATTTTTCAATAATAAATTGGCAAGTCTGTCCTTCTCCCTCTGCCTTTCTCTTTCTCTGTATATATCTGTATTTCTCCCCGTGTCTGTCTCCTCTCTCCATCGCCATGGATGGGGTTGTTGATGTTGTTGCCATGGCAGCTGCCATCCATGGCCCTATGCACCTCTCTTTCCACTGCTCCTCTATCGTGGACCGTAGAGATCACGTGACTATGGTGATCCGTGCTCAAAAACAATGTATCTGGTCTACATTTTTTCTTCTATTCGGCTGAATATGCTAAAATAAAAGCAAACACTGGCGTTTGCCTCATTCAAAGTAGAAGTAAATAATTAGTGAACCACTAGACCTAACTTCCATGTTCGAAACTGTGGTCTTGAAATAAGGAACAATTTTAATAACAATTTATTCAAGTAAAATACATTTTACTTCAGATTCTATGTCAAAATCTGCTTACACGAATGAGCTTCATATTCCACATATGTGATCATTACGTATTAATTTGTGTCAAATTGTAACGTTTTAGTTGTCCTGTATATGTTGCAATAACTCCTGTGGGGCCCTGACAAAGGCATGTGAAGTGATGCTCACAAATTACCAACAAGGATATTGAACGTAAAACCAAGTTATCTTTATAAACACACTCACAGGAGGCATGTGAAGGGCTTCCCCTATACCAGACCACAGGCAGCTGCAACCCTACTATTGCCCATTTAAACGTATACTTTTTTTATTAACACAATTGGTGCAAGGCATTATAAATATGATGTCATTATAACATCAAAACTGAAAAATCAAGCAGCATACATGAACAAATTACATCATCTTCTGTTGGAATAAATAATGTCTTGTGGAATGGTTGGTGACACAAATAAATTACTGAACAATGGAAAATAATGCAGTGAATCAAAGCTTGGTCTGGGGCAGAAGAGATCATTTGTTTGGCTTTCACCAAGTGATATGAGGTTTGTAACAATCCGTTAGCAGACATTTACAATAGCTCACACAATTCCAGGCAACTGGCTCAACGGGATAATCCATGTAACAATTCAATTCAACCAAATTTCCGATAAAATTGTGCACTATTGTCAGTAAATATTTTAACAACAAACATAACAGTCCTGTATGGCATAACGAAAGAGTTAGGCCATAGAGAATCTTTGTTATGTGCAGACGTCATCATCCCTAAGCCTAACAGACTTTTGAAACACACGTAGATCTGTTCACTCAACAATGTTCTGATGACTTATACAATAGAAAATATACATTTACGGTAACAAATAGCATCACATTTTTATTAAAAGCTTTCGTGACTGCAGGGATTCATATTCTTGGTTCTTTCGGTAAAGTCACGTAGAAGGGAAACAATAAAATAATAAAAATATAAAACAATATTTTAAAAGCATCAAGTAAATCCAAACATGCAATGAAAACATAGTAAATTACTAAACATTTAAATTCAAAATATTATAATAAATCAATTATATTGAGAGAAAAAAACACAACATGGACATTACCAGCACAAAGTGGTGAGGGAAAATGCCAAAGAGATTACATCAATGTGCAGTAAACTGCAGTATATATAAGATGAATTGTACAATGGCCATGCAGTAGCAATTACAATATTAGTGTTCTACATTCCCAGACAGATTACCTCAAACCACTGAACAAGCCCGAAGCAGCTTCCATGTGTAAAGTGAACAGGTGTCAGACATATCATAAATGTAACCTTCTGCCCCTTGGCTGACACTCACTATTTCACTTACTGCTACTACTACAAATTTTCACTTTATTTGCCTACATACAATAAAATAAGCAACACAAAAAAGTGACTGATGGTTCAAGAGTTAGTTACATACATAAAATAAAAACTGAAGTTTAATTTTCATTCTCGTTCTAAATTATTTCCGTTTTCCCTTCCTCTAGAACTTCTTCTATCTGTTCTTAACTATTGGTGAAAGCCATATACAGTACTTCCAAATGCGTATCACTACATTGCTTCATGGAAACTGTCTTATTAACATATTATTTTTCTTTTATCACGTTTCGGTGGCAAAGGAATCACAATAGTCGCATGGAAAGCAATATCATGGTCATGTTTGAATACTCTTCACAACCAGGGGCGGAGCCAGGATTTCAGGCCGGGGTGACAGTCAACAAATTTTAATTTCAAGAATGATTACAGAGTCAGGCTGTTGAACTAGACGCCATCGGTTGGCGACACACTCTGACAATGCAGTTGCACGGAGTCCGCCAGACCGAGTTTCGTACACTTATACGCAGAATGTCACCCCTGTCACACCCCCCCTGGCTCCGCCCCTGTTCACAACAATACAATTTCCAGTGCTGCCCTCAGATCTTTAGTTAAATGATATATGATCTTTGTTGTAACGAACAAGTCAGCCAAATCCATAAAAATATAATGTCAAGTCAAAGTGCTCAAACGACCATTGAGCTGCTCATCTCCGGTTTAAAGCTGTAAGCCAGTGCTGTGAATTCCACATTCCTATGGTGGTGGCAACTCTATGAAAATGTCCACCAGTGTTGACATCCTCATGAACAGGAATTAACTCGCCACTTTCCAACTGCGATGCACTTTATAATCAAGTGTTCTCACTGACAAAGCCATTGTGATTCATGACTGAAATGTCACTGAAGAAGAGGGCCTTGACAATTTCCCTGATTAATTTTGAATAGAATTACATAAGATAAAAAACTATTATCATCAACATGCCAGTCGTGAGGCAAATATTAAGCTGATAAATTAATCTCCATAAGCAACTAGCAACAGCAGTAACCACAATTTGTAATTAAAATGATTATAAACATTAGGCTTTTAAACAATCATCCTCATACCCCACCACAAAAATCATAGGGTCACAAATTCAATCATTAATATTTCGGCTTATTTTCACGATCTCATTTGTATTGTTTCTCATGGGTTCAGCCTCGTTGATTTCATTCACCTAAATGTAACAATCGATTTTAATCAATGAATTGTACTTGCCCAAAAGCTCAGTAATAGGCATCTGTTCAAGTGACAGGCCCAGCAGCCCAGGTAGGCATGCAGAGAAGAACAGACGATTAAATGTCATACCAATGAAAGCTTTACAACAGTAGAAACTGCACTTAGACAAAGTGCAACTTTTTTTTGTATGTCGGTTTAGGGATGGTAGCCGTAAGTTATTTCACGCCCAAATGCACATAAACGTTTATTTGCTCCAAGGATGTCAAACCCCCTTAATAATATACCCAGTGCCAAAATTATTTCACTCAAGTCACAGCACCAGTTGTTGATATTAACTTTGTTGAACAATAGTCCTGACCATGAAAAACCTCAATGAAAATGAAATTCAATGCACTTTAAAATGAATATGCAAATACATTATTTACAACACAATGCACGATGCACTGTTTGCAACAAAGGCAAAATCAGACGTAAGATACATCGACTGAGGATCAAATTGCACAAATTAGATAGACTTACATTCACACTATTCGCGTTGTGGAAAAAGTGTGACAGTTCAGTAAAAAGCCACAATATCTTGGTCACTTACCCAACATTAAGCTGATCAACCATAGCATCCGCAACACGCATAGCTGCCGCCACAGCTTCTTTTTTTCTATGCTCTGTAGGGAAATTGCACAAAAAAAATGCACAATAACAATATCCAGCATTCGGCTTTATTATTGTCATTTTTTTACAATTTAACCTAGGACTTTTAACATCTTATGCGTACACAATATCGCGTTAAAATGTGCCTCTTCGTCCTTGCGAGTACTGCAGCTCCGTACATCACGAAGTCAAATGGGCCATTAGGGCACAGGGTATCCCAGCATAAGAGGTCACAGTGCAGTAGGGGTTGGTTAAAATCCCCTCGCATCTACCGGCCAGTCAGCCACTCAGGACTTGAGGGTGCCTCCAGCTAAGGAGAGTGCAGGTGTGGCTACCACTACAGCTACAGCATGCAATTTCAACGGTTAGCCTGTAGTTTATAATGTGCCATAGTATAAAAACAGGGACTACAACTCTACAAAATGTGAAAAGATTTGGGGGCATGATTACAAGGCATTTACTGTGCACCGGCTGCCAAACATAAGTTGCACTTGCCAATCTCATATTTCATGTTAAGTGTTACACGGCATACACGTGCGTAATGTTCCGACTCCTTCGCCGAGGGTGAGATAAACCTTGAACCAAACTATTCACGAAATAATTTGTATTGAAATAGCGTGTGAATTCAACCACATCTCGCGACGGTGCATGTAACATTGTTATAGAAACAGTCAAACAAAGTTTTAAAAGAGTCTGGGATTGAACTGTGGGGGGCAGTTAAGTCGAAACCGTGGATGGCTGGGGAATGCGAGTTCTAGGCTACGGCGGGGCAGCACAGAAGCAACCTCTCACTAAACGAGTTGATGACGGTGGGCCATCAACAGCAGGTCTTGGGTTACTGGAGCAGAGTGCGCGGAGGAGAACAGAGTGACATGCGAGGGGCAAGGGAGGCAGATGCGATAGTCCTCGTCCGATCACGTGCAACTGTGAACACTGGAGCATGGGGTGGGGGGCTGCTGGGAGACCCTTTCTATGGTTGTTGTAATTCCAGTTCATTATCCATGCGGCGGGCAACGTTACATTTACTAACCATTTTTTACGAAAGATTGAAATGGCAGGCATTAATGCTGGCATAATGCGGCACAATGTTGGCGCAGTAAGCATCTACCGATGGGCACTTGAGCATTTCCTCAGCACGGCCAAACGCAACACGTGGTCAATCCACTGCTGGATGGACTCCCCCCCACATCTCTCGCGGTCACGCCATGCAGCACTAATCACAGCCGTTCTGAACATCTCTAGCCCAGCACACGTCTCTGTCTCTAGCCCAGCACTCGTCTCTATCTCTAGCCCAGCACACGTCTCTATCTCTAGCCCAGCACACGTCTCTATCTCTAGCCCAGCACACGTCTCTATCTCTAGCCCAGCACACGTCTCTATCTCTAGCCCAGCACACGTCTCTATCTCTAGCCCAGCACACGTCTCTATCTCTAGCCCAGCACTCGTCTCTATCTCTAGCCCAGCACACGTCTCTATCTCTAGCCCAGCACACGTCTCTATCTCTAGCCCAGCACTCGTCTCTATCTCTAGCCCAGCACTCGTCTCTATCTCTAGCCCAGCACACGTCTCTAGCCCAGCACACGTCTCTAGCCCAGCACACGTCTCTGTATCTAGCCCAGCACACGTCTCTGTCTCTAGCCCAGCACACGTCTCTATCTCTAGCCCAGCACACGTCTCTATCTCTAGCCCAGCACACGTCTCTAGCCCAGCACACGTCTCTGTCTCTAGCCCAGCACACGTCTCTATCTCTACAGCACACGTCTCTATCTCTAGCCCAGCACACGTCTCTATCTCTAGCCCAGCACACGTCTCTAGCCCAGCACATGTCTCTGTCTCTAGCCCAGCACACGTCTCTATCTCTAGCCCAGCACACGTCTCTAGCCCAGCACACGTCTCTGTCTCTAGCCCAGCACACGTCTCTAGCCCAGCACACGTCTCTGTCTCTAGCCCAGCACACGTCTCTAGCCCAGCACACGTCTCTATCTCTAGCCCAGCACACGTCTCTAGCCCAGCACACGTCTCTGTCTCTAGCCCAGCACACGTCTCTATCTCTAGCCCAGCACACGTCTGTCTCTAGCCCAGCACACGTCTCTAGCCCAGCACACGTCTCTGTCTCTAGCCCAGCACTCGTCTCTATCTCTAGCCCAGCACACGTCTCTGTCTCTAGCCCAGCACACGTCTCTGTCTCTAGCCCAGCACACGTCTCTAGCCCAGCACACGTCTCTATCTCTAGCCCAGCACACGTCTCTATCTCTAGCCCAGCACACGTCTCTAGCCCAGCACACGTCTCTATCTCTAGCCCAGCACACGTCTCTGTCTCTAGCCCAGCACACGTCTCTGTCTCTAGCCCAGCACACGTCTCTGTCTCTAGCCCAGCACACGTCTGTCTCTAGCCCAGCACACGTCTCTATCTCTAGCCCAGCACACGTCTCTATCTCTAGCCCAGCAGACGTCTCTAGCCCAGCACACGTCTCTATCTCTAGCCCAGCACACGTCTCTATCTCTAGCCCAGCACACGTCTCTGTCTCTAGCCCAGCACACGTCTCTATCTCTAGCCCAGCACACATCTCTGTCTCTAGCCCAGCACTCGTCTCTATCTCTAGCCCAGCACACGTCTCTGTCTCTAGCCCAGCACACGTCTCTAGCCCAGCACGTCTCTATCTCTAGCCCAGCACACATCTCTAGCCCAGCACACGTCTCTGTCTCTAGCCCAGCACACGTCTCTGTCTCTAGCCCAGCACACGTCTGTCTCTAGCCCAGCACACGTCTCTATCTCTAGCCCAGCACACGTCTCTATCTCTAGCCCAGCACACGTCTCTATCTCTAGCCCAGCACACGTCTCTATCTCTAGCCCAGCACACGTCTCTAGCCCAGCACACGTCTCTATCTCTAGCCCAGCACACGTCTCTGTCACTAGCCCAGCACTCGTCTCTAGCCCAGCACACGTCTCTAGCCCAGCACACGTCTCTATCTCTAGCCCAGCACACGTCTCTGTCTCTAGCCCAGCACACGTCTCTAGCCCAGCACACGTCTCTATCTCTACAGCACACGTCTCTATCTCTAGCCCAGCACACGTCTCTATCTCTAGCCCAGCACACGTCTCTATCTCTAGCCCAGCACACGTCTCTGTCTCTACAGCACACGTCTCTATCTCTAGCCCAGCACACGTCTCTATCTCTACAGCACACGTCTCTATCTCTAGCCCAGCACACGTCTCTATCTCTAGCCCAGCACACGTCTCTATCTCTAGCCCAGCACACGTCTCTATCTCTAGCCCAGCACACGTCTCTGTCTCTAGCCCAGCACACGTCTCTATCTCTACAGCACGTCTCTATCTCTAGCCCAGCACACGTCTCTATCTCTAGGCCAGCACACGTCTCTTTCTCAACGCGTTGACAGGGTCCGGCAATTGACCAAAGACAGACATTAGGGGGTGAGTCCGCCCCTGGATGCCCGGAACGGGGGGGGGGAGGAGGGGTGGATTCGTGATGCGAGTGACGCTCCTAATTTCCCGTGTTGACCCTGTTCTGTCTCAGTTAGCCCACAGTTGTTATCCCCGGGGAAGTTACCCTGCGCGTCCCTGCGCGCCGCCTGCCCCGCCTGGTGCTCCCGCAGCAGAGCCGACAGCATGGCCGCTTCTCCTTCTTCTACTGCTGCTGCTGCTCCAACCGCTTCCGGGACCGAGAACGCCACGTGACGGCCAGCGCGAAATCTGATTGGCTAGATTCGGGTTGAGCGAGCGGGAGTGGAGGCAATAGCCCCCCACCCCCCTTGTTCCCTCAGACGGCCGTCACGTGACACCTAGCGCGTGCGGGACGAGAGTGTGGGGGGCGGGGGTGTTTGGGGGGGGGGGGAGGTCACGTGGGCGCCACCTGTCCTCGACTCCACGTGCAACCAACCACCACGTGGTTTATACTCTTTGGTTCTTTGGGGTCTTCCATAAATGACGTCACGCGATTTTGGACGATTTTTGACCCCCCCCCTCGTCACACCGCGTCACAAAAAGTCAGACCCCCCTCAAATATGACGTCACAAAGCTCTGCCCCCCCCCCCAAAACCATATTTGCATTTTTAAAATAAAACATGCTCCAAGTCGCTTTAAACAACAGTATTTTCATTGTAGTGCGTATTTAATATGGCGCTGCACTCTGATGTTGTAGGAGAAACCATTCATTAAAAAGTGTATTTAATTAAGTAGAACGTTTTTGATTTAAAGCTTTCGTGACTGCAGTAATTCATATTCTTAGTTTTTTCGGTAAAGTCACGTTGAAGAGAAACAACAAAATAACAAAATATATATAAAACAATAAAAAATTCTCACGACGTTTCGACCATAACTCAAACGGTCATCATCAGGTGTGTCGGTTTGCATAAATTTATTTTGAAAACGGCATATTTATTTATATATATAAAAATAACGTTTGCGTCACGCGCAACGATGGCAGTTTGCCAGGACTAGTCCATCTATTTTTTGAAAAGAGGAGGGGGGAGACGAAATTTGTTTTTATGTATGCTGTCTGAAAGGCACTGTAAGCGTGAACAATCAATCAAGAACTGAAATGATTTATCAAATCTTTCCAATGATTGCTAAGATAGAATCCATCTTCTCGGTTGAAATTGTCTCTGTGTTTGTATATGTGGATAGCCTCATGAACGAATCTCTCATGGAAGCCAGATGGCTTACAAAGAACCTCCGTCTTGGAAAAGTCAATGGCATGTGAGCCTACTGAATTAGAACAATGATCTGCTACGGCCGAGGTGTTGGTCCTACCGTGTTTAAGGTCTGCTTTATGTTCACGAATGCGGTCCGAGATATGGCGTTTGGTTTCTCCAATGTAACTACTACCACAGAGGCAACTTAGTTTGTAGACACCAGGGTATTGTATGTCCGGAATCACATCTTTTACAGACGGAACCAGATCACGGATTTTATGTAATGTGTTGAAACGGACCTGGATCTTGTGTTTATTCAAGATTTTGGAGATCTTTTTTGTGATCCCAGCAATGTAGGGATCACAAAAAAGATCTCCAAAATCTTGAATAAACACAAGATCCAGGTCCGTTTCAACACATTACATAAAATCCGTGATCTGGTTCCGTCTGTAAAAGATGTGATTCCGGACATACAATACCCTGGTGTCTACAAACTAAGTTGCCTCTGTGGTAGTAGTTACATTGGAGAAACCAAACGCCATATCTCGGACCGCATTCGTGAACATAAAGCAGACCTTAAACACGGTAGGACCAACACCTCGGCCGTAGCAGATCATTGTTCTAATTCAGTAGGCTCACATGCCATTGACTTTTCCAAGACGGAGGTTCTTTGTAAGCCATCTGGCTTCCATGAGAGATTCGTTCATGAGGCTATCCACATATACAAACACAGAGACAATTTCAACCGAGAAGATGGATTCTATCTTAGCAATCATTGGAAAGATTTGATAAATCATTTCAGTTCTTGATTGATTGTTCACGCTTACAGTGCCTTTCAGACAGCATACATAAAAACAAATTTCGTCTCCCCCCTCCTCTTTTCAAAAAATAGATGGACTAGTCCTGGCAAACTGCCATCGTTGCGCGTGACGCAAACGTTATTTTTATATATATAAATAAATATGCCGTTTTCAAAATAAATTTATGCAAACCGACACACCTGATGATGACCGTTTGAGTTATGGTCGAAACGTCGTGAGAATTTTTTATTGTTTTATATATATTTTGTTATTTTGTTGTTTCTCTTCAACGTGACTTTACCGAAAAAACTAAGAATATAAGTAGAACGTGTTTATATTTATATAAAGTTGCGCATTTGGATGTGACGTCACATTTCTCACCCCCCCCCTCTCGTCACACATCGTCACAAATATCTCACCCCCCCCCCCCCAGGTGCGTGACGTCATTTATGGACGACCCCTTTCGGTAAAGTCACGGAGGTAGAAAAATAATAGATCATGACGTCTCGATCGCAACACAAGCGATCGTCATCGGGTGGGACAACCACAGCAAGAAGAAAAAAAACTGCTGAAGTTTTTCTACCTTCGTGACTTTACCGAAAGAACCAAAGCGTATGGATTCCTGCAGTCACTAAAGCTTCAAATCAAGATTGAACCACGTGGTTTGCTGCACGTTGTTGGCGGCCGCTTCTCCGAACGTCGATGGTCGGGGCGCACTTACGGCCGGCGACAAAGCCCCATCTACTACCCCCCTCCACCCACCCCCCAGGCTGTTGTGAATGACGGGGAGCAAGGAGACAGCGTCGCACCGTCTCCCTCTGCACGGCTGTGAAGTTCGCGCCAGGGCGTGCCGGGGCCCACTTTGTTTCCCCGCGAGTGTTGGAGGAGGCCGCTGTCACACGTGGGGCCAAGGGATCTTTGTGGGCTACGTGGGGTGACCTCCGCTCACGCATAGCATCCACTGCATATACCTGTTTTCAAATGCCACGTTCTGCCAGTATACAACGGCACATGGTGTATGCACAGTGCCATGTACGCTGAACTTGTTACTTTGTGCTTAGCCAACCGCGCTCATCGGAGGTGTCACAACACACTTTGTGTACACCAATCAAAACCTTCCAGATAATAAAAAAATCAAACTATATTGCCACGCTCTTTGGTTCTTTCGGTAAAGTCACGTAGTTAGAAATAAAGTAAATCACGTTTCGATCGCAACGGATTTTTGCACACAGCGTTTTATGTACGGTGCTATTTTCAGGAATATTTTGCTGATTTTTCCTGGATTTTCTGTTTGCACAAAGTCACATAGTCACTTTAAGATGTTTTCTTGTTCGTGTTTTTTTTGTTTGTTGCGGTTACACCCGATTCAAGAGCCGAATGGCTCACAGGGGTATACCAAATAAATGAAACTGAAAACTGAAATAACGTTGACACAGCTATTTCAATGCTAAATTCTCCTGTTTGATATGTAAACTCCTTTGTCAAGGCGCTTTACTTCTCCCACCCAGCTTAAAAGATGCTGCGAATCTTAGCAGCGTTCATTGAAGCGCTGTCGTCACGACAGTTCTGTTCCTTCACCTGAAGAAGGCTACTTGTGTTGTGGCCGAAACGTCGTGAGAATTTTATTTTTATTATTTTATTTCCATTCTACGTGACTTTACCGAAAGAACCAATAAGATGAATCCCTGCAGTCACGAAAGCTTTAAATCGAAATTTAACGTTGACATACATGCGTGTGTGCGCATTTAATTACATGTTTTGTGTAGCTGGTGCTCTGTGTAAAAGCGTTCGCTAAATCAAATCGCACTCGGCTGCATCATCGTCATGATCTACGGGCAAGGTAGCGCCGTCGGTGTCCAAAGCACAGTTCGTCATTTGTTTTCCGCTTTCTTCTGTCTTGTGCCAATATGATCAAGTAATTCACATCTTTCTGGCACTACTGAGCCACCGCTTCCCCGCATCTATAATGACTGCGCAATTGCGTTTGGCTCATGATATAAGGCACCACAGCTACACTAACATTTGCACTGATGTCGACCGAGAACTAATAGATACTTAAGTTGCACTTGATTCAACCTACCACTGACGTATATGCCTGATTTGGAATGGAACTGCATCCAGCTAATGTGGTCCTGGAATTCCCAACATTGACTCCGATGCACCGATCTTCATTCAAACAGACAGCGGCTTGCTCTTCAGCTGTGAATACCACTAGAGCCATATGCATAACAGCTGTTATAGGTTTGCTACGTTGCGGGCAGCAGAGGGTTTGCGCAGCAGCTGTCCGTCCCCTACAACCCGCACTCGCCCGCGTGGTGAAGTATGGATAAATAAACCCCCCACATAAGGAATGTATATGCGCTCGTAGAGACCCACCCATGCGCTCAGCGTCCTCATCCCCATGTCCTCGCCTCCACGTGCACATCCACTGCAACGCGCCCTTCACGCTTTCCCTCCGAGCCCGGCCATCTGAGCATTACTAAAATGTGCGTGGTTACATTCGCCATGGCAGTGTGTGTGTGTGTTCGCACGTGGGTGCACGTTCACACACACAACAAAAACTCAATACGCTTCTGTATCTTTTAACCCTCGCCCCTCTAGCGATTCGTTGACTTTCTTCTCCATCCCTCTCCAACTTATTATACCAATGGCAATCGTGCCACGAAAGGGGTCCGTTCCGATCTCTCGCAGAGACACAAGGACATCACCCCTCGTTAGAGAAGGGCTCGCGGAAGAAGTCGGTCGCGACCTCCCGGCCATCAATCACCGAGCTCCAATCGAGATCCCAGTTCCATCACGGATTCGAACTCGGGTAAAACCGAGGCGGTGCTGGCTCAGTGCGCTAATCCCTTAGGCACCCCGTCGACCTTCCTCCCCCCCCCTTCCTTCCCTTCTTCACCGTCCAACTCTGCCCAGAGTCTGCAGTCGACTCGTGCCCACAGAGAGAGCTCAGAACCACCGCGCTACGACGTGAGAGGCAAGCAGCTGGGCACGGGCAAGCAGACACTGCGAGGGGCATTGAGTGAGTGCGACAGATGACGGCGATGGGTGGTTGATGTTTATGCGGGGGCGGTGGTGGTGGTGAAGATACGACGCCCTCCATGGTGACACGGGGAGGAGTGACTGAGGGTGGCTGTGTGGTTGCGGTGGTGACGCCGTGGACGGGAGCCCCGGTGGAGGCGGGGCGAGAACAGCGTCCACCCCCCCCCCACCCCGAGCACGGTCACAGCGCCACGGGCGGAGACACACGGCCGGACAGCCCGCGGGACAGCTGCTCCCGGCTCACTAGCCTCTTCGTCATCCTCCTCATCCTCCTCCCTCCTCATCATCATCCTCGTCCTCTTGGTGTCTGCTCCATGGCCGCCCTCCCGTTGCTGTCCGCGCTGCTGCCGCTGCTGCTGCTGCCGCTGGCCGGCACCTTCAACGTGGACACGCGCCTGGCCGTGGTGAAGGAGGGCGACTCGGGCAGCCTCTTCGGCTTCTCCGTCGCGTTGCACCGGCAGCTGCAACCCATCGATCGGAGCGTGTGAGTGGCGGACACGCACTGCGCACTGCACACCTGCACCGGGTAGCACGTACAGAGAGAGACACACACACACAGGGACAGCAGGCGCACACACACACACCTGGAAAGAACAGCATCCACACACAGAGCACGGGACACACGCAGTGTAGCGCACGCAACGCACGCACGGGGACAGCAGCCACATGCCTGCATTGAGTGCGGACACTGAGTGGGGCAGATAGCGGCGGACCTGCGAGATAGAGACGCACTCGGGGGATAGAGACACACCTGGGAGATGAGATTTAGACTGTTGTACAGACGCACATGGGAGATATCAACACACATCGAGGAGATAACATCGCATGTCCGTGGGACAGATAGCGGTGGCTTTGGGAGTCCTTTATCCAGCAGTGGATTGATCGTGGCTGATGATGAGGAGGAGATAGCAGACACAGACGCACACCTGCAAGACATACGATTGTAGACTGCTAACACTTGTGTGGGTTATGTACTTATATGGTATTTCCCCTGCGTGGCATCACAGCCTGACTCTGCAGATGCCTTCTTTAGACCGACAATTCAAATATGTTCCGCATATATAGTTCCAGAGGCACACTTTGCAGCATTGAGCATTGGTGACTCTTACTACACCCGGTCCACGTTTGCCCTCTTGTCTCTCGCACCGCTGCCGTCCGTCGGTCGGTCACATTTACTCAAAACTCACAGTGCACTTCAGAAATAAATGTTGATGGTGTGTGCATCATGTACAAAGGCTGTGAGCGCTTTTTACACCTTTCTGTGTTGTGATGACAGACCCACGGCATTGCGTCCGCTTGCAACGACTGTCAGAATTCCCGTGAAAAGCGTGCTGACATAGCACACACAACCCTGTGTGTGCTATGGACTGTCGCAGCACTTCGCCCGCTATACAGACTGACAGTGCGCGATATTTGTTCTCAACATACCAGCGCTACCAGCATGCTATCGATTGACGTGGCATTACACCTGCGTTCTTGGGAGTCTAGGCTATAGCTGAATGCGTGCGAGCCATTGCGTGTGTATGTGTGTGTGTGGTCATACAATGCCATCGTAGTATCACCGTGTGTTATAGCATTTAATTCAAACATAGGCTTACATAGCCGTGTGTTGCTACAGGCTGATGCCTTACTCTGATGTTGGGGGCATGGGTGTGTCCAGTTCGCCACGGTGCGCTCTTATGGAAAAATGTGCGTCTCGGGGCGGCGTGCTGTAGGGGTTATTTTTTTACCTACGTGACTTTACCCAATAGAACCAAAGAGTATGGATCCTAGCAGTCACGAAAGCTTTAAATCTAGAACTGTAGGGGTTATTGGTCTTTGCCTGGCAGAGTGTTAGGGGGGGCTGTAGCGTGACTCACACCGTTCACTCTCCAACGCTATGTTGAGCAGCTCCGCAAAAGTATCTCGTAATCGTCATCCCTCTTGTCACGCTCGTTTTGTTTTCTTCATCCCAGTTCAGTCTTCCACTGTTCTGTTGCGTGTATGTACGTTGAACTTCTTTGGCGCCGTACGTAGCCAACCGTGATAATCGTACGTAGCCAATTCTCCAGTTCTGGATGCCTTCATCCTCACAATCCATCCCCTGTTCCCCCCCTGTTTGTTCCTATCCATTCACTATTGCAGGTAAAGTGTCCCTCAGTGACCGCTGCATAATCTTCATCCTCAATCAAACTCCAACAGTTCCTGCTTTCATCCACATTCCTACACTGAAAGTTTGCGTCTGCTGTCCGGACTTGAGACGTTCACTGTTTGCATTCGAAACACTGAGAGCAATTCTGTCTTCTCATGAGCTTCAGACTTTGAAATGGAATGGAAGTGTCTTGCAATGGCAAACAATCATTCATCACTGACTCACTTCTGGACTGTTCACGTTTAGCGGAGCTGCTCATCCCGAACAAGTGCAGCAGCATTGCACAGTGTACGCAGTGGTTTAAAGCACGTGTCAGTGTATACTGGCTGCTCAGAAGTGTTTATGTAACTTTACTGACTAATCCGCAATAAACTGCACATGCATGCTGTCACGCAACGGTACACGCTGCTGCATTCCCATGAGATCGTGATCACGAGCCATGTTCAATCCACTGCTGGGTGAAGGCCTCCCCATGTTGCCCATCTCGTGTTCCCACGACGCCACAATGCATTTCGTCACTCCATCTCCGCGGCGGACATCATCTTGACCTTGTAACGTACTTCAGCTACCCATTCCGTCACCAGTCTCATCCGTTGTCCATCCATTCCTTCCAGAAATGTGTCCTGCCCCAAGCCCCACTTACTTTCCATCACAGTAAATATGTTGTCTGCATATTCTTGATTCTTTCGGTAAAGTCACGTTAATTCCAATCATGCATGCATGCATTCCGAATGCCTCTTTCGCATACTTCTCAACTATTCTAGATTTGAAGCTTTCGTCACTGCAAGGATTCATACTCTTTGGTTTTATTCGGTAAAGTCACGTAGGTAAAATATTTTAAAATATTTTACCTACGTGACTTTATTCTCAACTATTGTTTCATCGGGTTTTTTTGGGGGGGGTTGGTGGGTCGATGTTTTAAATCCACATGCCACACAGATTAAAAACGTTCTTCTTGAAGCACATTGGAATGTTACTTATCACCATAAAACAACATTCTTCAAAGGCACTCCTCCTACCTGCTGTTGGCCATCACGTTATTTAATATATACACTATATGGATATATTGTTTTACTTCCTTAGGGCCCCCCCCCCCTGCAATGACCGTCATATGTATATGTATACATGGCGTGGTTTCCAGTCTTCGTCGTCGGAAGTCCCTCGGGGTTCGGGGATGACGTCCGTCAGGTTGCGGGGTGGCTATTGAGGTGGCTGAGGCATTCCAATTCTGGATCCGCAGATATTTGGGCATTGGGGGCTTCCTTTTCCTTTCTCTAATGGCAATGGGCAGTATCTGTTGCCGGGCGGCACCTGACTGGGAGTGGCGTGCAAGGAGAGCTAAGTCACTGGAAAGCTTTACAAGTTTCCGTGTGCTGTGTACAGTGCAGTAATCTTGGCTCAGACCAAAAAAAACCCCTCACCTCTTCACATATATGAACTGTGCTTCCGCTGTAGTCGTGACCAAGTTAAATGGCATACAGTTTTTGGGGTACAGGAAAACTGAATTGAAGTGTCGTCATTTTTCACATTTTATCTGAGAATCCTGACAGACAAGAGCAGGTGAAAGTGCTTAAGTTTAACCAGCTGTCGGGTCAGTTGTGTTGCCTGTTATGGCTATTCCTTCGTAAAAGGTAGGGAAAACCGTTGGCTGAGTGCATTTGCAAAATATAGCTGTGAAAACAAGTTTATAAATACAGGCTCATAAAAATGCACTCGGAAAACTACGTCGTTGTTTGAAGCATTTGCGACGCTTCACTTGTCCAGGTTGTGGATTGGGCTCGTTGAAGTCTTGACTGGTATTGACAGAGCCACTTAGCCGCAAATGAAATGACTCAATCATTTTCTGCACAAGGTCGGGAAAAAAAACATCAGCAGTGTGATCGAACAGAGGAGGAGACGGCAGTGCACCTCAGTATTTTAAAAAGCGAGCTGTCAGCAAAAAGACACTTGCTTGAAAATTCTGTTGCAGGATAAAAGTGTCACGATTACATGTTTTGCTTATTCATTTTGTACGTTGATATCCTTAACAGCCACTGACTTTTTTTACAATTGAAAGTATATGTGGAAGTTTTTTTGTTAGATATTGGGCACAACAGAGATTGCCATTTTATTTATGCTAGTTCCATTGATAGAGATACATGTTTTTTTAATGAAACACAAGGTGCTATACCAATTCCACATCTTAACAATAGTACTTGTCTGATCATGGTTAAAGAATCTCTTAAAGATCTGAGCAGATGGCTCAGCAGTAGAGTGAGCAGCTTGCAATCGGAAGGATGCGAGTTCAAATCCCGGTTGGGTGTTGACTCAGTCCATCATTCTCCTGGGGTCAATACAATAAGTACCCCTTAATGGAAAGTCAACAGTGGTCGCCCTATGGAATCACTTGCCTCTACTATAGGAATGTGGATATTTCCATCACTGGTTCAGGGATGTAAACAGGAGGCGAGCACTGCCTAGATAAACTAAACTAGAAACATTTTTTTATTTAGCAGAAAAGGCCCACTGATTAAATTTTTAGCTCTTTTTCAGAAGTGAACCGGCCACAAATAATAGCTCAAGGAAGTGGCTTATCATGTGGACATTTACAGTAGGCAAATATAAACGCATGTTTCATTTGAGCAAGAAATAACTTATTTGGTTAAAGACTTACAGTTCACAGGTTTGGGATGTGTACCAACATTAATTAATCAGTACTCTGGCAGCAAGGGTGGAACATTTAATTTTACTTAAAAGCTACCATTTTGTACGTGTGGTAAATAATAATGAATCCTGTATATGAATATGTCATGTAAATATTTAATGTCTTCTTTGTAGCGTAATGTGTTTGATTGCATCAATATATTTACGGTAGTTAAATTATGTAGTGCAACACTGTGATGTGTCATTTATGTTTAAGTGATGTTTTTTTGTTAATGCACGTTGTATGAGTAATCGTCTACGACCAAATCACCTGGAATATGCCCATCAGATATTGGAAACTAAGCAGGGCTGAGCCTGGACACTGCTTGGAATGGTGACCACCGTCCATTGCCGGTGTTATGGGCTGCGGGGCCACGCTTTGGGCAGACAAGGGCAGTGGCAGAAAAATCCATTGCACTGAACGTCTATGCTTTCACCAACCCTGCACTGACCAGCATCGTCGTGAAACATAGTCAAATAACCTCCGAGACCCACAAGGCATGGCAAGGCCCTCATATCGAAATGGAATAAACCACCAATATGGAATATGGAATTTTGGTGGTTTATGCACTGCTTGCTAGTAATGTGCATGCGATGCTATGCCAGAGTTATGCATATGCTCTAAGTTAGTGAAGGAGTGCTATATTTGGACAGTGCAGCGGTATTCCAAC